CCCCCCCCCCCCCCCCCCCGCCATAAATAATGACCAGTCTCTTTGTCATGGGGGAAAGAGGTGTAAAAGAAAAAATGTTGAAATATGAAGAGGGGGAAGGTCACCATTTCTGCTCTTTTAGGGGGGGAGCTTTCAATCCTATCTAAATTTAGGAGAGGAAAAACCCCTCCTCCCTCCATAAATAATGTCCGGTCACCCCAATATTCTTTTAAAGAGACAGCTCTGGCAAAATCTAGGCAAAAATTCGCCGAGGTAATGTCGGCGAATTTCTGTATTTTTTATCTATATATAACATAACTATACGCTTTTTAGACTTGACTGAAAAATTAATAAAAGGAACCTTTGAATCTCAACTGACGGCTTTTGCAAACCACGCTCAACGTCGTCCTATTCCGACAGTTTTTCAGAACACAATTTTCCCCTGTACTGTACAAAGTCTTTTCGAATTCATCTCGTGTGTTTATTTATGCTGTTTTGTCGTCGTTTCATGAAGTTTTTTTTGTTTGATATTCAGATTCTTATAGGATAATGCACTTCTTCTTTTTCGGTTTTTTGGCGGGCGTTTCGTGAGCAGCATAAAATTTCCTGTGTGAAAAATTGGAAGGAATTCGTTTAGTTTGCAATGCCAATGAATACGGTTATATAGATTCATGCTATATATGCTTATATCATTGTTTATACCGTTGCTACATACAGTATATATAATTCACAACTTTATACAAAGTCTGTCGCGAACGTGTCTCGAAGTGTTTGTCGTGAATGATTTTTATGCTTGTGTCCATCATAGTCGTTCAAGACATGGTCTGGAAATTCAGTAAACTTCAAAACGGTTTCAATGAGCTGGGATTTTATGTTGAGCCGTGAATGACTGAATTGAAACGTTGCTATTGGATCATTCGTTCATTATACTGAAATACAATGTGTTCATTGACCGTGCACCGTGCACAAAACGCGAAGAAAAAGACAAAACAAACGCCCGTATTCTAAAAGCTCACTCGCACTCAATGAGTGGGGGTTCAATCTGAGCTTCTCTCGAGTGTCAATGCTGTTTTTGAATAGCTGGAGGTTGGTGTCATACCTTACTATGTGACTACTCACCCTCCAGCTATTCAAAAACAGCATTGACACTCAAGAGAAGCTCAGATTGAACTTCCACTCATTGAGTGCGAGTGAGCTTTTAGAATACGGGCGAAAGACTTTAGCGGAGTTTCCAAACCATGTTTTGAAAGACTACAGTATGTTTCCATATGGTTAGCCAGTCTTGCACTCAGACAATATACCAAATAGACAAAGCTTGCAAGCCTTTGCCCACCATTCAACTCACAGAGCCCTTGAAGCTTCGACCTTCCATTCTTTGCATACTCGCTTCGCTCATCAATTAAATGACCTCAGTAGAGCAAAACAGTAGTGGCCATACCCAAATTAGCGAGGTTTAGCAAAGACGACGCGACGTCAAAGACGACGTGAAAATGGCGTAAAAATGGCGTGATATGCCCATCTATGGATGTGCGCACGCCATTTTTACGCCATTCTCACGTCGTGGTTGACGTCGCGTCGTCTTTGCTAAACCTCGCTA